TCTTTTTTTTTGAGTAAAAATTACGGAAACCTTATTAGTCGTGTCGATTTACTTACGTGATACGGGGTGAAAATGCATTGAGTGCTTATCTGAGCGAGTTTCTAACAAATATCAATTGGAAAATCGCGATGACAAGTGCAAAGTTGATTTATGTATAAAAAAATTACTTAATAGATATTTGGAGAAAAATCCTAAAAAATTAACACAAAAAAATATGTACTATCAAAGAAATTAAAAAAGATATAAAAATTTTCAAATTTCTGTGACATCCCAGAAACATAATCGATATGTTAATCGGGATATACCAAATAGGTGTGCCTTCATATAGCTTATGAAACTATTTACATCCAATAAAAGAAAATTTAAAAAAGACAAAAATCTTTAAACCTTGATGATGTCTCAAAAACGGAATCAATCATGTAGAGTATTAAGTGCCACTACTAAACTATTATAAAACAGATATAAATAAAAAAAGTTAAAAAAATCCTTATGCTTTGGTGGCGATCTGAAGATCAATATACCGAGCAAAATATATCAGTCGAGTCAAATATACGTGTATGACATATACTTCGTGTAATTACTTATTACAAAAAAAAAACGGAAAAATTGAAACATCCTTATGTCTTAATGACGTTCAGGGAAATCAATCTTAATTGAATAATATCTGTAATTATTTGACATACGTGCATTCCGGAAACAGGGTCAATTACCCAACACAAATAAAGCCCTGTAATTGTATTGTGCACCACTGTATTATGCACGTATGTTTGGGTTCGAAACGACTTTTCGGAGTAGTCGGATCGATTTTTTGTGGGTGTATGAGTGAGTTTCATCCTCCAAAAAAATTTGAACGGAAGATGGACCCGACTGGCCAGATGCTCTTCTCTTTAAAGGTTTGCCTCTTCCCATAAAACATAACGTTAATTTGGTTGGTCATAAGCCATCATTTTCCAGTTTCCACATTTGAAACCAACGTCGCATCAGGGTTTGTAAATGCCTAGACGGCCACAGCATTGCGCGTGCTGTCGTATCATCAAATGTACCATGTATATGTGTTGCGTACTGTGTTGCGTAGACAAGCGTGCTCAGCGTGCTACAAAAACTGTGTTTAAGCTATGTTGTGGAAGAGGTCATTAAGAAACAGTTAGCTGCTATTTGACGTTACCTCTATTAAAAATATAATTAGCCTCTTATCTTTACATAGGCAAAATAAATAAATTGTGTTTATAAGCGAAGCAGGCGCGGGGCAAAACAGTTTGGTGGCGTGTAAATATATATAAAAAGAATTTGAGAATCTTTATATTTGCGAAAGTAAGAGAAGATACGAAAATGATTACAATTAATAGCTGATTTATCTATGCAAAACATCTATATCTATGCATCCTAATACCATTTCTAAACATACTATCAATTATTCCGATATTAACTGATAAAGAATCGAATGACCACAGTAGACATTATTATTATTTTAAAAATATACCAACACTATGACATTATAACTGTATAATAGAATTATTAGGATGATGCTCTCGTTAACGATCTGTTAGACAGTCTGCTCATGATTGCAATACATTGCACTTTTTCTGCTACCAATAAACTAAATAATTGGGTATCAGGCAAGTTTGCTTGTGTTGCTTACCGCTCTTTCTCAAACAACTATTCTCGAATGTTTCAATGTTTTAATAATCATTCATACTGCGCAAGTATGTCACAACTTGTATATTTTGTTTTCATGCATTGCGTAATCAATGGGTTGTTCAAAAGGCAATGCGACTTTATTTAAAAAGGAAAAATGAAAAAATTTTTTTTAATTACCAAAAAAACGTATGTCACGCAAAACACAATAAATGCATATTTGGAATAAGCATGCAGTCGAATACAGCAGTGCAACAAGGTCCTTTGGGAGCCTTCTATGTTGTTGAACGCGTTGCCCATGGAGTATTGTCGTGTGTGTCAACAATCAAAGCAATGAAGAGCATAATGCTCTATAATCAGACAGCAACCATTACCGTAGCTAACTATACTTGTGTTACGATTATAATATATACAGTTATATGATATGTCGTTATTAGTAGCATAATTATTATTCGCTTAATAATGATAGAATATAGTAAAAATAGCGAAGATTGCAATATTATATTTATGTGTGACTCACGATTTGATTCTAGCAAATAATAAATTTGCCATTTTTAGCTAGAATCATTAAGGCCGTTGTAACCTTGGCTTTAAAGTAGTTTAAGACGTTGAAAAAAATCGGCAGTAACTATCAACTAGAAAATCTGATTCCGTTTGCTTCGGTTGAAACCAAATAAGTGAGATCATAGTTTCTCTGTTTATTTGCATTAAACCTGTGCACCATGTGTTTACCTAACACGACGATTCTCCTTTCTCGCTAACAATATTACGAAAAATGAATAAATATAGAAGTGTTTCCATTGCCGGTTTGTTGGATAGCCAATTGCGCTGCTGCTACTGCTACCTATCGGTTTAAAACAACGCCGACAGTAAAACATGTTCTTGTACGCAGTCCGGAAATGCCTCGAAAGTTCGTAAAGAGCGCTTGCAGATCTGCTGTTGTTGTGGGGCACAGAGGGAAAGGGTAAGGGATGGCACTCAGACTGTACAGGTGAATGACGAAAAAAGAGTGGCGCAGGGTTAGTAGCCGGAACAGTCACCAGAGGTCGCTGAATCGTGCGATGTGTTGTTTTGCGACGAGGTACCGGCGATCGCTTTAGTCGTTTCGGTGAGTATGTGTCCGTCTGGACGTAAGTACCTCGTCTCTATGGGGTTTTAGAGAGTTGAGCTTACAAATCGTGCTAATATAAAATGTACCATGGAGATATCTCGACTTGAAGAATTCCGCAAACGCTGAGGTATCTGATTCGGTAATTTAATGTCTTCTACGAGTAGGGCTTTACTTATCATATTTATAATGATGATTATCATATGTATAAAAGAGACAGTCCTGTCTTAGCGTATAATCATATATATGTATATACACGCGCACGAAACACGAAATAAGCGATGTATAGAGGCATGTCTTGTGGACATTACGATGTCAGTCGAGAGCGCTCGTAGGATAGCTACCCCTTGATCACCGCTATCGTCTCCCAACGAACGCCATCTTGCGCCGACAGCCATCCGCGCACACGAGTTTCATGCGACCACCGTTCGTCTGCTGCTTTATTGCAGCCGCTTCCACCGCCGTCGTCGCTCTAACCCATGCGCCACTATGCCAATAACTCGGCGCAAGCACAAAGGGACAACAGCTAGCGAACTAACAGCAGCAGCAGCAGACATACGGCGTGGACCGCAGCGATTTGCATTAGCTATAGCTAGAGATTGGAAGAGAGTCGCTAGGTTGCCAATGAGCGGCGTGTGAGTGACCTGGGAGCGGTAGGAAACAACAACAAGCACAACGGCAGCGAACAGCCCAGCCCCACAGCGCGCAGCATTTATTTTCACTCGTAGTAATCTATTCATTGGATTGAATTCGATTGGAGCGGCTCCGACAGCAACGGCGCACTCCTGCTCCGTCGAGAAAATACAACAATCTTTCCAGTTACTAGCTCACGCTCATGGCCTTGCTGCTGTTGCTGTAAGTGGCGCTGTGTGCGTGTGTGACTCCAGCGCTCGGTCTGTTTGTTAGCGTGTAAACGATCGGTGTGAGCGGACTACACAGCTCGCGCATCAGTGCTGAGCCTGTTGGTGCTATTGCTGTTTGTTGGTGACCATCGTGCGTCTGTCTGGGTTTGGCTCGTGCGGGTCGCCCTGAGCACGCTAGTCACGCTGCTGCTGCTGCTGCTGCTGCTAGGTCTGACGGGCGAAAAGAACAGCGGCGGCTGTGAGCATCGGGAGCGGAGCAGAGCAAGCTGCTGTGCTATCTCTTCCAGTCTGTGTCTATCTGTAGGTCTCTCTGTCTGTCTATAATGTTTGTTTGCATTGCTGCCACTCTTTACTGTAGGTGTCTGAGACGGTGTGACAAGTGTCGACTATGCTGCTGTGCTATGGTCTGATGCTGACGGCAATGGTGGTGGTGGTGGTTGTTGTTGTTGTGCATTAAGCGATCAACTGACGACTGAGCGTTGCCGCCGCTAGCCGCTGCTGACTGACTGAATCGTTGGGACTGCCTCCATCTCCTCCAATGCGCTAGCAAGCAAGCCAACGAGCGAGCCGCGGCTGCCGCTGTTAGTCTGGTCGCCTCAGACTGTGCTGCAGTAGCAGCGTAGCAAGACAACCGACTATAACCACCTCATATTGTTATTATATACATCTATTTATTTATTGGTCGGTTAGCATACTGTGAGTGATAGCCCAGGCGGCGAATGGTGGTGCTCGTCACTCGCTCGCTAGACGCCGTGGCCATTACCGCCGCCGCCGCCGCCGCTGCCGCTGTTTTCGGTCGTCGTGATCGGTCGAACTTCCCTCCCGTCTAAGCGACACCGATCGCCTGTGATGATGATGATGCTGCTGCGTTCTTGTTGTTGTCCATGAGTGCCGCCGTTGGTTTTCACTGTCGTCGACTGGAATGTCTCACGAGAGTGCGATCGTAACAACGAAACGCGCCGACTCGTTGCTGACACCACCGAAACTCTAACGACCGTGCTGACTACTAGCTAGCGACTAGAACTTCAACATCGATACAGCCTATACTACCTATCATCAGTAGACAGGAACAACTGCTTAAGCCAGTACAGTTCGTCGACGACCGGAAGGACATTGCACGAGATCCCGGGGGCGGGGGCGAAGCAGGCAGCAAATGCCACCAAGATTTCTCCTGTTGGTCGTCGTCGTCGTCGTCTGAGCGAACGAAACCAGACCGAACGTCCCAGTATCTCTGTGGTATGAGCGCCGTGTTAGACGGCGACGTCATATAGCGTCGTCGTTTCGCTTAACGACATTACCATTGTCATACTACTACTACTGCTACTATTACTACTACTGTGAATCTATTCATCTGTCTGTGTATGATATGTAGATCCGACGACGGATGCTACCCGCTTCTGCGATGCATTTAGTTGCAGCAAAAACAGCAGCAGTAGCAGCAGAGGCAGCAGCAGCAACAAGAATAATAATAACAACGTCGACTTCAGCTACTAATAATAATAACAGGAGCAGCAGCAGCGGCTGCTTGAGGAGGACGATACGTTGAATAGTTTGCCGCTATAAACCAGCATCAACGAACAACATTCTATCACCGCCAGCATATCGTCGTGATCACCAGCATTTATCTGTTGCCGCGATTGCTGCTGCGGCGACGTTTTGCGGCTCTGCGAAAAAGAAGTCTTTTGAGAGGAGGCAGTGTTGTTGTGTGTGAAGACGCTCGCGGTGTGTCACTGTTGTCGTGGACACGACCATCTCACGCATGTAGGTGAGTAGAAATAGAATAGCAGTAGCAGCAGCAGTTGCAGTACTACTAAAAGCATAGCGTAGTGTATTTATTTCATATGTTGCGAGGGTCGACTACGGTCAATTTGTGGTCTGTTGTTGTGGTGCTCGTGGGTGTCGTTGTTGTTGTTGTTGTTGATAGGCGACTGACAGACGCTAGAGACAGGCATGTGTCTTGGAAGAAATTGAACTGAATCGGATTTCGATTTTGACAACTTGTTCCCGTCATGCACAGTTTATGTTCAGACATACAGAAAAAAAGAGAAAAACAGAGGTGCAACCGTTTTCGTTTGTGAGCAGACGGATGCCGGTTCCACCACCTGTACCACTACTGCAGGCTCTTCTTAGTGGCAGTTTTCGTCCTACTACAGAGAGAGGGTCACAACAGCAATAAATAGACCTAAACGGAACATCACAGCACGGGACGGCAGCTTCATACTCGAAAGGTGGGACTCTACTAAGCTCTATGGGCCTGAGCTGCCGGCCTGTCAGTTCTCTATGCAGGTAACGATTATACAAAGCTGTTGAACCAATATGCCAGTCGTTAGTTAACAGCAGCCTAACAATATGAAACTAACAGCTGACTTGCCTAGTGTCGTGCTTCGTTTGTCAATTTCCTCTGTACCTCAGGCTACTATTATCGCAGGAAAAAAGATGGATAAATACATACTAGAGATCGCTTCTCTCGCTATGAGAACTGCTATGGTTGTAGTCGCCGCTACTGTGATCACATTTCTTGTCCGCAGATAGTCAGTGAGTAATCTGTTCTTAATGATTTAACACTGGATCTCCGGGACATAAATTAGTAGCGGCAGCGGCGGCAAACACAGCAGCAGTAGTCGTTGTGGCAACACGATGAACCGTCAAGAAACTACTTTTATTATGTACTACGGTATGAGGTAATTATAGCGCTAGCTATACGAATATCGATGGGCCAACGAGTCTCTGCATTCAATGATTTATCCAGCGGTCTTACTATCAGTCGGTCCGGCTGTAAGTGTTTGTTGTGTCGCTACGCCTTCTCATAGATGTAAATGCGGCATGGTGTTATAATAATATTATTATTATTACTATTTTATTTATGTCTATCACTTTTACGTCGAAGATGACCATATCGAGCAGTGACCATGCACTTTCGGTTCCAGTCTACATTGAAGTTGAATCTGTAATATTTCCTAGTGAGCATTGTCGGTGGCTGTTTCCATACCTATAATTGACATGGTATTGTTCGATCAATCACAGTGAATAACTGTGTTCCTCTAAAAGTACCAAGTACTGGTAGCCCGCGTGATGTTGTTCCTAAATATAATCGAATCTCTTTAAGTTATTAGACGTATAATTCCACAACGAGCTATTTGATCAGAGCCGAACGTAGCACACCGGTTGATTTGGAAAGGGAGAAAGCTGCAGGACGAAGCTGATATTAGATTGTTAATAGTGAATAGTACTTAAAAATAGTTAATGAAATTATCATACCAATTGAATAACGGTAGCGTTCATTATACGACGATTACAGTTATTATCGCTCATTGCTGCAAAGTTCGAGTGTGCTTGTGTTTTGACTGGTTAGTCGTGCTTTATAACTCCCTTTGGCCACTGTCTCGGCTGGCTTTATAATTCGTATAGATGATTGTGCACGTTGTGTTATTACGTCGGTCACAGGTTCGACCTTTCACCACTCGTCGGGTATCCAGATAACACAGTTGGCTGTTTCTATCTGACTATGTTCCGTTCTGTTGCATCGTCTCATCCATCGGATGCTGTCGTGTGCTGCTGTATTTGTTGTTCCTGCTGCTGTTTTTGGCGTCAATGATCTCGTGCCGTTGGACACGCCGCTCCTCCTCCTCCATGGCTCCTAGACTTCCCACCTGATCATTATCACCATCATCAGCATGACCATAATCCTTACGATCATTGCTACAATCATTGCTATCCTGCTCGATCGTGTGCATTCTCCGTTTAACTCTGATGGGGCCAGGACGGACGCGGACGCGAATAGCGTCAGCAATCGGTGGCGCTGTCGGTGGTGACGGCAGCAGCTCTACAATTTTTTCGTCGCTGACGCAGACCCACCGTTCGCGGCGCAGTGTATCGACTGTGACATAGGTCTAGAAACAGCTGTTTTCAGATGCCGCAATTTTTCAAGTGATCCGTCAGCATCGCAAGCGAACGAAGCGGCGAAAGTGACCGACCGGCCAACCAGGTTGCTGCTGCCACTTCTGTTTAACTTAGTTGGCAGTCTTGGCGACGATGATAACATTGAACAAAGGCAGGTGGCGTGAGGGAGGAAGGTTTATTTCACCTGATCCGATTGTGTTCATGTTGTACTTAAAGGCGGTCCGTTTGTTCTATAAGTTATTGATATCACGACACGGTAAGTACAAATGCTGTAGTGCCAAACGCTGCCGCTGTTGACTAGCGCAAACGATGGGTCATTTAAACCGCTAGTATTAGGGGTTTTTTCGTTTGGCGCTACCTCGACATCTACGAGCTGAATATGCGATCTGCCAATCGGTAACCCATTGACAAGTGATCGCAGCTTTAACTCTAGCTATTTGTTGCAGTGGCGTTCGTGTCAATGCTGGTTGACCAGCAGCTTCATGCGACTCACGGAGGCGACTTTCTGCCTTGCGTTCAGCTAATGATTTCTATTTTTTACATGTTCATTTTCTTGATTTAGTTAGTCGGAATAACTGGATGCCGATGACGGAATTCGAATTTTGTCAGTGTATAGGTTAACCTTTCCATAGATGCGTTAATGCTCATTGGATCGTCAAATCTGTTGTACGAGATGGAGATCGGTTATCGTTGTTTTGCTCGTGTTTATGCAAATGTCTAGGACAGTATATGCAACGGATCTGATTGCACCTTTCCAACATTACTTCTTCTTCTTCCCAGTGTTCTTACCAGAACACACACATTGACCGCCATGGGTGTGCGGCAGACGTGGCATCAGAAGCTACATCAAAAATAATTGGAACTACAGTAAGTCTTAGCGATAAGGCAGAGTTACCAGAGTTACGAATCTTTAGACTAGACCCCAGCTGAAGTACATAGTAGTTAGTATGCTGCTGCTTTTGTTACTTTGAGCTCTTTTAGTTGTGCTTATGGGACATACGCGATACAGTTTTATTAATCGTTAATTCTGTCTAACAGACAGAGTGGAAGGATGTTTGTGTCTGTGTGTATGGAATGTACAACAGCCATTGTTTTTACTGTTTCCCTAGGTTCTACAATGACTAGTTCGTTATGTCAATAACAATCATTGTCACCATCGTCGTCATTGTAGCTTTAATCGTCTCCTTGCCTATCTCGGCGTTAGCACTTATGACGGAAGCAAAAGCCACGAGCTGTCCCACAATAGCCGTCATGACCAATACCAGCGTCACTACCAATACTACGATTATTGGCGCCCTTTGCGGCAGATAAGCGACGTAACGGTGATGACGATTGCCGGCTGACTGCTGCCGCCGAAGGAAAGCGCACGCGATCCGGACAGCTAACAACAGCAGCCAGCAAACACGTCGCCACCGCAGCGCATGCTTAACTGACTGAGTTGTGGAGATGCGCCGATCAGCTGACGTTGAACCGGCGAACCGCGCAAGCATTGGCTGCAGCGGTCGCTTCGGCCATTGTCGTAATAGTGATGCCCAGCATCTGCCAACAGCACGAACATGCGCGACATGTTACTTTTAGTGGCAAACACTGTCAATGAATCTGGCTGTCGGAGTGCTACTATTGCTGCTGCTGCTACTGCTCATCTTAACGCGGTGACAATTAAGTGTCACTACAGAGCTTTCACCGCCGGTGACTGTGCTGGTGCTGCCCGTTACACTGCTTTATAGAGCTACCACTGATTATTCTTCTCCCTGTGGAGCGCGGCTCGGGCAAGGCAACGAAGTGACCGACGGCCGAACGTGCTCATGGTGGCAGTAATAGCCATCTTCGGGACGACTGCGACCACGGCCAGTAGCAGCTGCATGCAGCACTATTACTGCTACCGCTACTGCCGTTATTGCGGCTGCAGGTAGAGCGAGCAGTAGGAAAGTGGGTGCCAACGAGGAACGCGGATATGTATTTTTGAGGCATGTCGATGCATGCATACGTGTTCACGTCTATGCCTGTCTAATGTCAGTCTGTGTGTTGAGTGAGTAATGCTTGCGCGATGACGACAAGGCGAGTACTGTTACTAACAACAACAACAACAACAACAGCAGCAGCAGCAGCAGCAGCAAAAGTGTACTAGAAACGTGTGCAACTTGACCATAACTCGGCTACATCGCTGCTGCTTGAATGCTTGTTTAGTGTGTCTGTTTGCACTTTTTTTTTTTTTTTTTGTCTCTAGTACAACAGCGTCACTTATGAGCAGTATGTGACCGATAGTTTATGACTATATACTCCGGTCGGCAATAAAATATTTAGCTGTATGTAACTATATTTTTCTATTTATATACATACATATAATAATATAATGTAGATGTGACGGTTTTGGCTAGATGTGCCGATTACCGTAATGTTTAATTAGAGACAGCAACATATATATAATAAAACAATGATATGATATAGTCCATTGCGCAGTCATTTATGCTTTTTTTTCGTTTCCTTATTTCCTCGTCGTTTTTTTTTTTTATTAATTGATCTATGTCTTACATGTATACGCTCACTGGTACGTATAGGCGAAGACGCAGACACAAACATTTCTATAACACTATTCTGTGTTCCAGTGTGTGTGTGTGTGTGTGTGTGTGTGTGTGTGTGCGTGTGAGCGCATAGTATATCTGTTAACGTAAAACCGACAAACATTTCAATAACGTAACAGTGTTATTCTACAAACGCGGTTCCTTATCAGGCATCGGACGGATAACGAGTGCGACAGAGCAATTGAAAAGAGATGTTGTCGGCATTGCTACCATCGGCCGCCGCGGCTGCCATGGCGGTTACACTATATAACCGTACTACTATGTACGATGATGCTTTGCTGATCCTACTACAATGAGGGGACGAGGGGTATAGGCAGTGACTAGTAACCAACAGAAGATTTGCTCGAAATCGATCCGATGATGACAGCTCGACACGAGTTATCCCCGTCCTGGTTGTATTAGTAGCATTCGATTTATATGGCGGCTGTTTATATCAGAATATTAATTTATATAGTCTAGCTTGAAATTACTGTTTTATTCGTTTCAATGCTAGAAGCAATCGCGACGATGGCAAGAGCCAGAGGCGGCCAGTGCAATAATAGCCGCCGCGTCTAGTTATCGATTTGCTTAGCGAGGAGCAGAATTATCGGTCGTGGCAGCAGTAGCAGCGGTTAGGAAGACAACGGCGGCCAAAGGCCGTATAATACGTATTAGTCGACACAAACAAGGCTCACTAACAGGCAATAATAGACAGATTTACTTGACGAAGACCGTGTACGTGTCTGATTTAGATTTGGCCTATTGTTAGAAACGTAAAACTTTCCTGCTAACTGTTCGACCTCCGTTCATCGGGGGTGCGCGTCC